GGTGAATGAAAAAACTGTGGTTGAGTGATATTAGTGCGATAATTATGACCTAGCGATTGTGATTAGAGCAACGGATCATAATCAAGTAATGTTTTGGGCGACTATGATTGAGTGATGCTAGTAAGTTGAGTGTGATGGATGATTATCAAATATTACCTTGACAAAATATCAATTTTAATACATTTTTAAATGACTTTAGCCTCCTATGTGATTGGAATGTATCATTTCTAAATATGTGACGATTTTGGTAAACCAATAAAATATGTAATGCACAACTGACGTGGAGTTTAAAGGTACATAATTTGTTCTTAAGTTACAACTATGAAGTTATCGGTGCGGGAGAAAATGTCTAATTAATAAACAATGATTTCATCTCTAATAAAAATAAATAAATAAAAATAAAAATAAAAAACTACATAATTAATTTTTTTTCTTTCATATTGTTCCGTCAATTTAAGAAATATGTCATGCATGTAAAAGCACAGAGAAGGGATCAAATTATTCAAGGACGAAGCATGGGAATTAGCTTGATCTAACTGTAGTCAAGAGTGCTTCTACATATTAATTTAGTGCCTTAAAAAATGTTTAAATCACAGGAATAAATAAACAGATACTTTATAAGCTTATCAATCTCATATCTAAATATACATGTATATACCACAACATGCTATCGATGGTAAATAGATGCCATACTTGTGGGCTGTGGCGCACCACACTTCGACTGCTACAAATTCAGAACTATGGTCACACGGCAGCTAAAAATTAAAAAAATGAAAATAAAAACATTTATTTACATAAAGTCTGACAATATATATATATATATACACATCACTTTTTATTTATGAAATTATTATAATAATGAATATGTATAACTATATCAGCTTGGTACAAAGATGATATAGGGCACCTCCAGACTTCTGTAGATACAGATGTGTATGCAGCTCATGGTGATAACAGAAAGGTTTTTTTTTGGTATGAATTCCAATCCAACCATACAAAATGAATTACAGAGCTGACATTGAACACATAGCTAGAGAATATATATTTAAACCCCCACCCTCATGCTACCTGCAAGCGCAGAATCAAGAGCTCCAATTAATATCAGATAGAGTGAAAGGCTGCCTGAAAAGAGATGCTACTCCGCCATCTCCCAGCTGCGTTTCCTGACGCAAGTGCTGTGGGATCTGCAGGTTCAGAAGGTTCAGTACAGAAGGCGCAGGGCCACCGCCGCCGCCGCTGCCATTATTGCTGCTTGCTCGGAACCTCTTCGCCGAGGAAGAAGTCGTGTTGTTCTCAACACCCTGCCGCAAATGAGTTGTCTGCTTTGCCGAATGGGAAATCAACGGCTTTTCCCTGCAGGCCTGAGTTTGGCAATCCTCGGAAGCAAGCAGAGCCTCGAAAAAGGTCTCGTCCGCTCCATCCAGCAGCGCGGTGTAGTTAGCGGCAGAAGAGCTGGTTCTCGGTGTCTGCAGCTGAAGGTTAGGAGAATGATGATGGGCCGGAGATCCAATCACGCCGTGGATGCATCTATCCGAAAACCTATGGTTTGTACTGTTCTTCTTGTAGATTCGGCACAGGACCCAATCGTCCAACCTGAGCGAAGCCTTCTTGGCAACAGAGGAGTAATTAACCGTCCCTACCGGAAGCCGAGAGGAAGCGGATGAGGATTCCGCGAGGCGGTACTCGTGCATAATCCAATTAGTCTTGATGCCTTTAGGCGGCTTCCCGCCGTAGAAAACAAGAGCCTTTTTAACCCCAACCTTCAGAGTTCCTCCGCAACTCAATACAGGCTTATCGGTGCCGGTCGCCTTCCAGTATCCGGACGTCGCGGCCCGATTCGGCCGCGCGCCGTTCGGATACTTTCGGTCTCTCGGGCTGAAGAAATACCACTCCTGCTCTCCGAAATTAGCCTTCTCTGTTGGATTAATTGAGCTAAATTAGTTGATGGATATGTGAAGCATATATAGAGTCATGAATGTGCGTACCGGGGAGTTCCCATGGATCGAATTTGTAGAGATCGACGTCGGCTATGATGGTGATGGGGAGAGGAGCGGAGGAGGCTTTGTTCTTGAGGTAGTGAACGACGAGCTCTTCGTCGGTGGGGTGAAAACGGAAACCGGGAGGCAGCAGGGGCTGGTGGTGTGAGGCTGATGAGGAGTCGGTGCTCTCCATGGCTTAGGTGGAGGAGAAGGAAGGAGAAGGGGGATTTAATTGGGAAGTGGGGGATGATAAGGATGAGGATGAGGTTGATGGTGTGGTGGATGTCGCTGGCTGTAGCGGGAGCGGGGGAGGGAGATGGGAAGTGCCGAAAGCGTTTGGCCGGGAATTCCGGTTCTTCAACGAACACTCGCGGGTCATCGCTCGACGCGTGTGCGGCGGCACTGCTGGGCCGTTTCTTGCCTACGTGTTGCCACTTGCTGGCCTCGTGATGATTTTGGGGACCGCACACACACTAGACTTCAATGGCTTGCTTGGCTGCAGCGCCGAACCGGGACTTAACGAATTGATTTCAGATGGGTTTGATGAACCTTTTTGTGATGGTGTTGGTTTTCATATTATTTGTGGGGATGCATGAAGATCATATTTCAGATAACAAGAAATCTTAAAATTGGGGTCAGGTATTCTCTAAAATTTTGTGGTACCATGTATTGATCGAAAGTGAAGGGTTATGTAATGTATTTTTTTTTTTGGAAAAAAAAAATTCTTGGAAAAATATGAGAAATTCGTTGTGTTTCTGTAAGTATGCATCAACAGTAGGAATCTTTATAACACAATTATTCATACAGGAGTTACCGATTGGAGCATCCTTGAGAAAAAAATCCCTAGAAAAAGTTTTACGGTTCAAAACTTTTGATACCTTTTCATTTTTCGCCTATAATTCAAACAAATATTTTTGTTAGAGCAATTTTTTCTTACGGTTTCTAGTAAAGATTTTTTGAGAAACATGAAGCAATTTTCTTTTATAGAAATGAACAACTATCTTTATATGTGTTCAATCATCCATATAACTTGCACATAGCAATGTAATTGTTTACATCAAAAATATGTCAGCACGAATCTAAAAAAAATCAACAATCAAAGGAAATAGTGACTTGACAAGCTACGGCATAACAGCAGTAGCCCACCATCCTGCACTTATTCACCTGGCACAAACCAACCGGGCAACATCCAGCTCGGTTAGGCGGCGTCCAATCATAAATGCAAGTGGCTATCGTCAACCCAATCAAAGGGTACTCAGATTTAACTCTCTGCATGGGTCCTACCAGAAAGCTCGCCTGACAGACTAGGCGGATAAAAAAAATTTGTCTAAACTAGTATGTCGGCTCACAAATAATAGCCACTCGAGTGACGTACCCAGTCGAGCGCCTTCTGAAATTCCCAACCTAATTAATATATACTACCCCAAATACCCCTACTAGCCCTACTTTACTAGGGTTACGGAGTGTAATTTAACCACTTCAAATTCTATAAATATAGGGTTTATTTCATTAATAAATGTTATGTAATTCTACTGTTAGTTATTGTGCTCTTTCTTCTCTTCCCCTTCCTCCCCCTCTTATACACTATTGTATGAGAGTGCCATCAGGATAGATTTGTGTTCAACATTCTAAAAGGTATGATGAGCTTGGAGTCATGTTGTTAACAGGAAGAGAAGCGCAACTACAGTGGCATGAGAAAAACCACAAAATGGGCATAGCCAATGTTGAATGTTCCAAAGAATTCATAAAGGAATTTGTGCAGCGAGAGATGTAGGAGTAAAGGACCCAGATATCAAACCAGGTGTCCAGCCAAATCCTGGAGGTTCTGAGAGATGTCACAGCTCAGAGAAGTGAATGGGCTTCTCAAAGGCAGAATCCTCCTCGAGAGGTAGTGTCGGCGCACAATGACAGAAAACTGAACCATAGACAGTAGAGGGTTGGGGATTTGCAGTATCAACACAGTGTTGGATCGCAATGGTTTGGATGCACTAAGGCCTCATGCAAGTCGAAAAACCTCTTCTCCCTTTAGATCTTGGGGGCTGAGCCTCCCAAGAAGTTCAAACTCACAACATTGGAGGCTTGCAAGGGTCAATCAAAACTCAATGACCACCTTGCCTTGTTTGAGTCATCAATGTGCTTGCTCAAGGTTTCAAATGCATTCAAATGTCTTATGTTCTTCACCATCTTGAGATCATCGGTCTTGAGGTGATTCAACTCATTGTCGGTCGGAACCATCAGCAATTTCTTGGACTTTAGAAATCCCCAGCACAGCCACAACCCAACCCCCAGTACAACCATCACCCAACCCCCAGCAAATTCACCACCCAACCCCCAACACAACCAACACCTAATCCCCAGCATATCCACCACCCCACCCCTAGAGCATCCACCACCAATTCCCAGCATAGCCACCACCCAACCCCCACCACATCCAACATCCCACTCCCAGCACATCTGCCACCCTACACCCACAACCACCAAAAGACCCTCAAGAGGTTAAAAATGAAAAATTATTGCAAATGCTCTAAACGAGATGAAATTATACCATTCCCATATTTCATTTGAAGAAATTACATACAAGTCACCTAAATGAACCACAACCACAACCCCTTCCCATATTTCATTTGAGGAAAATAAATACCACATCACATACACACCCACAACCACCATACACATACCCACAAACACAACACCCAACACCCATCCACAAGCCACATCACAAACAACCACACACACACACCCATAGCCATATCACACAGAGCACCCAACCACAACCCAACACAACACAAACACGAACACTCACAACCACCACACACATACCCACAAACGGAACACGCAACACACAACACCCAACCACAACTCAAATCACACACACCCACAACCACAACACACAGTACCCAACCACTGCCCCACACAAGACATACACTCACAACCACGCACACACCCACAACCAAAACACACGACACCCAACCACAACCCATAACCCACATCTCAATGAAGCATCTCCCTTCATTTTTAATTCAATGCAATTACATACAAGCCACCCAAAAATGTTTTCATCTACAAATGAAGCATCCTCTTTCATCCATTTTTTAAATTATAGTTGAAGCATAAAAAGAAAAATAGTGTAGTATTTAATAGATGCAAATGCAAAAAGGCCACCCAAAGGAATGCTATGAACAAACCAAGCACTCTTTTACATCCAATTTTTAAATTACCACACAAAAATGAAAGGAATTGATGAAATCTCATCCAATATTTTTCATCTGGGCAATGACAGATAGGGCACCTGAAAACTTGCTATCTATGAATGAGCACCTATGCAAATGAGTATCTGAAACCTTGTTATTGTCAAATCAAGCACACACTTTCAACCATTCTCCAAATTACATCCAAAATAAAAAAAAAATCGCGTAAAGAAAGCAATTCCATTAGAAAACCGCATACAAAATACCATTCCATCAAAAAATCACCACAAATTGCTTCTAAAAAGGCATTATATCAAAAATTACTTACAGAGCACAATAACCTGAGGTTGGAGGGAGGAGTACGAGGTAAAAGGCACTGCTAATCACAAGATAGAAGAATTCAAGGGTTATAAGCGAGCAAGGAGTCACCTAGGGCAGAATGGGGGTCGAGCGAGGAACGAAGGGCATGCGTGTAATAAATGAGGGTAAGAACGTAGGCGGAGGGTCAAACCCGCGACCGTACTAACTAAAAATCCCAAACAACTTGTTTGAATAAGCAGAGAGAACACATGAAAAAAATTTCTCAGTTGTATTTTCAAAATGCAAACACACGCCCTATCCGCCCCAAATGGGGCCTTAGATTCATAATTTTCCAAATTTCCCTAATTTTTGCATATAATATGGTTATCATGTGATGTTTTGTGTTAGATTGGGTGTTGCTAATGTGGAGGGTGAAGCTATTAAAATTTGAATAAATAGGATAATTATGGTTTGATTAGTTGGGTTGAGCAGACAATGATGTGGTAATTGATGTGTTGAGTATGATTATTTATTGTTGGTGGTATGATGGAAATTGTTTAATGCTAGTACTAGACATCGTTTGTATCATTTTATGAAATTTCATGAACTGAGATAGAGATCTACTTTTGTACAATATTGAAAATAACTAAGTATACTTTGTGTAATCATCTATGAATACTATATAATATTTGCAATTTTCATGTGATAATACTGGAGATGGTTCCTATATATCTCAATTAACAAGTTGAAAAGAATTGATAGTGGTTGTGGTAGCTCTAATAAATGGCAACTTATGGCCCTTAAACGAAATACATTTTTATGGAATTGTAGAAATGTCTAGAAGATTATTAGTTTTGGAAATTATTTTGGTGGTTTTTTTTGTGAGGGCATCAAAGTCTTTTATGCTAATTGGATGATCCAACAATAGTGTGAAGAGCTCGGTTATTTGATTATGTATAAGTCATCATTTCTCCTCCCTTTAATAATTGTTTGAAGTGTATTCTTGTCCTGAATGTAATAACTAATTGAATCAAATAATATTATAAAATTATTATATGTGGTAAGTTTATGAACTAATAGAAGGTTGTATGATAATTTTTGTGCATAGAGTAAGCAAGAGAGATGAAGTTTATAGTCTGGAGTGGATAACATCTCTTCTCATATGAGAGATAAGTACAAATTTCCCATCTCCAACTATTATTTGCTCCTTACCTACATATGATTATGGTTGTGAACATTTGTATTGTGAGGAGTAATGCGTGTGGAAGCTCCTATATCAAGTATCCATTCATTGTTTGGTTTTAGCTACCATAAGAGTATTCCATGAATTAGTACTTGCTGATGGATTATAGTTTAGATTTGTCATATGCCAACATTTAAATGAAAAATGCAAATATTTTCACTTATATGAAATTGAATTGGCTTTTTGAATGTTGTTTCATTATTTTGCTACTAATTGGATGGTGAATTGAACTTTTTAAAAGGTTTAAATTAGATTTGATCATTGTCTTTGTAGTTTGAATTATTTGTTTTGTTGAATAAAAGAGCCAACTAAATTGTTGATAGTTTTTTGGCTAAGTCGACTATAATGCTAATCTATTCATTGCATAGTAGAGAATATATATCATTGAAGTTTACCAGAGTAAGTTTGGTGTGAATGGCTACTTTGAAGAAGTTATAAGTTAGAGGCAAACCAGTTAATATATAAAGAATAATGTCTTCGAAATCTACAACTAAGCATGTTGCAGTAATCTTATCGACGAACAAATTTTGTTTTAGTAAAATATTGAGTCATGATGTTATTCTTCATGGATAAATGGTGTAATTAATTTTTTATTTGAATTTAACAAGGATTTGTTCAAAGATTGCAGCCATTTATGCAGAGTGGCCCAAATTTGAGTAGTAGTTTCAAGTTGTAGAACACATGGTAGGGTATTGTGTGACATAATGGAGAACAATCATGCAAATATGTTATGATCTATCCATTTCTAGATAGTAAATTTATTTTTGAGACTAGTTTGAGCACTGATATCTTAAATGATTTGAGGAGGAAAGATAGTTTTTTCATTTAAAAAAGAATCAAAACCATTTGCTTGAAATATTTGTCAAACCTAAATAAAAGAAAAAGTTGTGCTAGTTGATTTGGTGTAAAATATTTGATGTTATTAAGCAAGAACTTGAATGAATGTGAAATTGATTGTGTTGCTGAGAACTAGAAATTCATGTTATTGGTTTGGGAAAATAAATTTGCAAATTTAAGAGATAGATTCAAATCAAAAACTTTAGTAGCTTTGAAAAAAATTTGAAGAGAGAATTTGGAGAAAACTATCTAAAACCTGCTTTGATACAATGTGAACATACTAGTACAATATAACTAGAGAGAGAGTGGTGTGTGTGTGTGTGTGAGAGAGAGAGAGGGAGATGCAATAGATATGAAACCTGAAATATGAATTCAACTTACACAGTATACCAGTATGTCAACTTATTTATAGACTGGTTTGTTATACAGTTAGTTACAAGTACAATTCAAGAGAGTAATGTATTGTATAATTTTTTTTTCCTAACTATATTCAATTTGATGAGAAGTTGACACCCAACAAGGCGCACATTCTTGTTCCCATTCCTAACAACACACCAAAAAATACTTGAATGAGAAATCAAGTTATTAGCAATTTTTATGATCTAAATTGAAACTGACAAACATAGAAGGTTTTCTAATCAGAATATTTTAATTTTAATTTAATGCAGGTAATTATTTATAACTGCTAAGTTTATTTTAAGATGACTATATTATCAAACATAATTGATTAGCCATGTGATATAACTATTTTAAAATAGATTCAAATAGAAAGTTTCATTTCCATTAAATTTGAATTGAGATACCATCACCCAAAATTTCTCCCATTCACAAAAGACCAAACCAATTCTATCACATCTATACTCATACATGGATAACACCTGGAGAATGTAAGAAACATGCTGTAGAAATAAATTCAATTTTCAGTTATTTTCTCCCTCTTTTATTCTTCAATCTTCACTTTGTAGGACCAAAAAATATATCATCCAAAAATATAAATCGTAATTTCAAATCTTCATATTCTTTTAATAAAATATAAAACATACTTGAGAGCCATGTTTTATTATTTCATATCAGTATTATTTCATATCAGATTAGTTTGATGGCCGACATATAAAACTCATGTTTCAAAACATGTTTAAAAAAAAAAAACCATTTTTTATGAAATATATATGTTTTATGACAAAAAAACATCGCATTGTAATATGGCACGCTATTCTTACAATTTCTTTCCTTTATCAAATTGAATAAACAAAATGTGTAACTAGATCATATGAATGAATTGTAATATGTTAACATAAAACTAAGCATTTTATGAATAGATAAACTTTAGGACATTCTTCTTTTAATCTTTCAAATGAGCTTTTATCAATCTATTTGTACAAAAGGTTGTAGGCTGGTAAATCATGAATTCGATGGACATCTTCCAAACCAAGTTCTCTTTCCAATTGAATCCTTGTTGCCTGCAACACGTCCTAAACATAACAACAAAAATCAAAGTTATTGCGCGAAATTAGCAATCAAGAGACAAAAGGAGAGAAATCGGATACCTTGAACTGTAGGTACGAAGCACGCATAGCCAGCCACTGTGCATCCATCATCTGAAATGCTATACAGTATAATACATCAAAGGCTGTTTCATCTTCTGAAAATAAGGAAAAAGAAGTCTTAAAACAAAATGATCAGATGATGTCAATCAACATATGAAAATAAATATAAGTCAGTAAGAATTTAAATTTCTTTCTGACCTGAGAGAATTCTTATAAAATTCACTCCTCGAAGATTTCTCGGCTTTTCTGTGAAAAGATAGATTTGGAATGAATAAAAATTGAAGCAAATATGTAGGCCCTGGATTCAGAACTAAGAACTAAGTCCTACACAGGTTTGTCCAGATTTTTTTAAAACAGAGAAGCTTTCTAATAGATGAAAATGCCTAGTTCAGATTAAAGGTTGGCATTGACAAGCTTGAATTGTTCTTATCGTCTACCGTCTTCTATCAGAATAACAGAATCAAATAAAAGAGTGCCGATATGTTAAAATAGTTGAAGGACACTTGTTTAGTTTATCCATCATAAAATGTTTTTTATCATGTTCAAGAAAACTCCTCTCCAAAATTAACAATTATATAAGAGCCAAACTTTATATAAAATTTTTATATTGTCAATTTCCTGAAGAGGTCAAATTTGGGTTAAAAATAGAAAGGTGCAATTGCAGTTTTCCTCATATTTCAATATTTCTAATGATCTTGGCGCATCATTTTCTGCTTCATTTGTTCATTAATGTTTAACCAGAATATACACTTGCATGTCGGAAAGATATGGTATTCATCTCCACTGACCTGAATAAAGATCTAACATTTGGATCAGCATAAAAGTTATATTGATGCCGGCAACAGCAAATGGGTACTCCCATGCAGCTCGTATGCCTTCTTGTTTGAATAAAATCCTTTGAAAAGAAGCCTTCAATGCAGTTTTATTATGAAGTTAGATATATACAGTATTGTTGTCAGAATGATGTGAGTATTTGAGCAAAATAAATACTGTATGGAAGTACAGAAAATGTCTACATAGTATCAAAATTAGCTCTTACCGGATAGGTTCTTGCAAAAAATAATAGGTTCTCAAGGGAAATAAATCCACAGCCCCTAAATTTTAAGTAAAGAAAAAAGGTGATCATTAATTTAGAATCATAGAATACACATACATAACGGATAATAGTGGAATGAAAAAGTAATAACACCAAGTTGAGTAATTTGCAGAAAAGGTAAACATTGTGATTGGCATGCTCTTAAATTTTGGGTGGAGAGAGGAAAATGGAACTTTATGAGAAAAAGGAAAATTCTTTGGCAAAACTATTACTACCCAAAAGTTTAGCGGCCATTTGAGATCACATTTTATTTTTGTTTTTTTGTTTATTTTTTCTGTTTTGATTTAAAACAAAACATATTTAGTATAGTATAAGATGTTTGGTTATTTTTAAAAATACTCAAAACAATTTTTTTAGATTTTTAGAGTATTTTTAAAAATAAGCTGTTCTATTTTTAAAAATTAAAAAAAAAAACATACAAAAAAATGTACTAAATAATTTTTTTAAAAAATAAAAGCAAAAACAAAAATAGAAAACAAAAGACAAAAGTAACCATACCTTATATTTTCATCACAATCTAACATATCAAATAATTTAAAGGAACCAAAGTCTATTTTTACCTGAAGTCGGTTGATGGGTTGGCACCCTGCCACCCCATATCTTTCCATTGTTCAGAGACAAGACCCGTAAGATTTATCTCTGGAAAAGAAGCATCCCACAAGGCTTTGAGGGCATCCTTCAAAGAAAAAAGAAAAACCAAAACAAAAAAAAAGAAAGAAAATTATGATGTAGGATACAATGAAGCTTTAAATTTCAAAACAAAGTAAACAAATTAGATTGTACCCAAACTCCCCTAGACAGTTCTTTAGGGCAAAAGAATGTCCTAGCTTTTGTAGCCTTTTAGGAATGCAACCCCGCTAATAAAAGCTTTTAATTTTATTTTATTTGCTACCTGATTTCAGCTGGAGACAATGGATTTGATATTTGCAGAATGCTTCAAAGTGTTTGAATTTATATGGATGATATTAAAATATCAGTTCTAGTTGAAGAAGCAATCGGCGGAAGAGAAAATTGTAGGGCGTACGAGAAGAAGCGATAAGAGAGGCCAGCAATGCTAAAGAAATAGCTGGTACAGAATAATAGAATTATTGCTAATCTCTATATTAGTAAAAATTGTTACATCTGGGCGTATTGTTGGCTGTAACAGCTACAGCATTGTAATGTAAATGACTAATAATATAATTAAACTATCATTTTACCTTGCCCCATTAAGAAATGAAATAAAAATTTTTAAGATTTTCCTACAACTGCAAGTTATGCAGTAAAAACATGCTACTAACTGGGTTTTCACAGAAGAATTGATACAACAGTCGAAAGGTAAAATATGTAAATGAAATATACTTGATGATCGGGCCGAGTTTCCTCAAAAGGGACATTCAGCCGTTGCTTAAGCCTTTGCAGTCTTCGTTCCTGCAAGAAGGTAAAAGTAAGACCATTAGTTAAAAAAAAAATAAGATTTCACAATCCTAACCTTGGTTAAAAGCCATAAGAGAAAAAAAGTTCATCACAAGAAAATTATATTTTCAATGACATTCCATCTAATCAAGTTTATAGAAAAATTAATTCAGGATGGTATGTTGATGGAAAAAGGACAGAAAAAAGAGTCCATTCAAATCCATTTTGTTAATAAAGACATATACTCCGCATCAATCCTAATCATCTATAATTATTTGGGTTGGAGTGACTAATCATCTTTCATTCATTCCTATCTACTGATATATGAAATGCTAATTCTATTTTTGTATTTTTTACTTGCATTAGTTTTACTCGTATATCTTTGATCCAACCTTTTCTTTCTAACCCAAGCACATTAAATCTATGCACCAAAATTATTGATGCATCTATAACACTCTTTTGTAAATATCCACATAGACTAAATCTATTTCGATAAATTACCTTATCAAGTTCTATCCCTCAAGTCACTTTAATATAGTCTTTTCCTCTACCATAATCTATCTTAGCATTGTTATTTATGCCATCCAACATGATTTTAAGGAACTTCCTAAGATTTTATGCAATATCATTTATATAAAGCTAAGAAAAACACTTCAAAAGTGCATCTAAATTATCTTTTTCAGATCAACAAAGCTGCAGTATCCTGGAATGTTATTTTCCCAGCTTCTTACAGAACAAGTTTCGTCCTCTCACTACCAATTTAGGGTAGTGTTTTAAGCATATTCTTGCTTGAGAAAATTACCATGTCATTGTGGAAAAACATATAGAAAAAGAAATTAAAAGAAGAAAATAGCTAAAATTATCCTGAAGAAATGCATTATACTCGCATGAAAAATTCTTAAAAGTTTACAATAAATTATTTTTGCAAAATTTATGAAGCATAAGACGATAACATGGTAAATGTCTCGGTTATAATAGCTGGAAGTGACATCGCATGAGCACTTAGATAGATGGGAAGAAAAGAAAGGAACTTAAGAGTTAATGATAAAAAGCCAATTTAATATGTCTGTATTTCTTGTATTGATGTTTTGGGAAAAAGAGCAGTGAGTTGTAGCTCTGAGATTACCTGGAGCGGGGTGAGCATATACTCAGTTATCTTGTCATAATTATCAAAACGTTTGTTGCCATTACGATAGAACAATCCTCCAAACCATGTGCGTGGTTTAACCATATCACTAGCTGCAGTGGTAAAACCAGGGTTTAAGTTACCGTAGCAAAATAATATCAAAATAAAATCTTATTTATACAAAATTATTAGAAAATGTTAATTTCAAAACCACCTAAAACCATGGAAAATCCCTCTTTCTATCTCTTTTACTAATTTATCAACAATTAAATTTATGTAAATAATCTTACAAAACGTTTAAAAAAGTTAAGATATGCAAGCATGTATATATATTCAATGAAAAAAATAACTGAAATGCTAAAGTAAAAATACTTGAATAAACAAATTATAATTTCAATGCTTATGCGCTTGCCAATTACAAAATAATAATGGATATTTGTTAAAACTTCAAGCAATTAAACTTTAAAGAAACAATCGTATTTATTTTAAAATATGACTATAAATTAACTTTTAGCCATATTTCTCTATTGTAATTTTTAAATAACACTTTCACAATACTTCTGATATAATATCACAATATTTTAAAAAATCTTTTTGAGTGCTACTTATGTTTCTTAAAAATCTTAGGAAAAATTCCTTTTGGTAACAGTGCATTAAATAGTAAACTTTACCTCAATGTTTTGTTGTCACACATGCATTGGCAATGAGTTTAAATACAAAAATTGTGACAAAAAGATTTTTTTTGCATCATTTTAATATTTATTAAATTTAATACATCATTTGAAAACTATCATTTTAACTAAACATATTAATGCATATTAGTTATGAATACTTAAACTTATTGATGCAAGATTAGAATTTCTTATAAATAAAACTAATATGATGTGTAGTGTGCTTTCGTGAGAAAAATATAGAATTCAAATATTACTATGATAGGATCCGGAACCAAAAACAACGAACAAATTGCGACGAAATTGTAATAGATTGGTAGAAAAACTCAAGGATTGCTCTTGAGAAAATCAAAGAAAAATAGGCAAGATACAATAATGATCTACTATTCGAGAGGTAGATCGACTCTCGACAAATCCTAGACATCGCTAGAAACACTACAGAAAGAAAAGAAAACTCCAGCCAAACAAAATCATGCATAAAGAAAAAATAAACCCTAGGTTATTAGCCTTAATATATTCCTATCACAACACTTCAAACATTACCCCCAAACTCCTTTAATTCCTCTTCCTTGCATACGTGAGTAAAGCCCTCGTAGACCCCACTTGTTACTTGGACCCTTCTGCTTTGCTCCACGCCAAACCGACCATCCCTGCCGCGTCGTCCGGTCCATAGATGCTTGGGGTGGGACGGACGGTTGATTGCCGACCAGTCCCAAGTAGACTGATTGGCGAGTACGATCTGTCAACTATGATAATATTTACATTACAAAAAAGGCCCAATCTAATAAACCTAGAGGCCCATTTATGATAGCTTTGGAAAGCCACTTATGATGTACATTTAGTTCCATGATTCTCCTAGTTTTTCAACATGATATTGTGAGAAGTATGAGAGAATGATGAGAGATTTGTCATTTCTATGCTTTATTATGTGATTGTTGAGATCATAACAAGTGCTCCGCTCGTCCAAAGATTGATAAGAGACCAAATTATATTCCACTAGAATTGTGTTTCCCACCATCACAAATCTTTGTTGACTACATCTTTAAGGAATATTCACAAGGGCTGACTACCGAGCCTGCACTTTCCTTCCTCTGAGAGCACTTTACCTAAACCTACAATGAGTAGTTGCGATGACTTCTGAGTAGACGCAAACTGACTCTTATGTAGGGGCCATCACTTTTTTGGATGATGGAAGTAGTTTATTTCGTTGTTATGATCCGTGAAGAGTGTTGGCGGATCTCTTCTTGCAAAGTTACCTCTAGAGAGGACATATGCCATTGGATGAGAATGAAAATATGATTTATTGCAATCACCATTATTTTTATTCTCCAATGAGATGAGAAAGTGCAATGTAAGGGGAGAGAGTTCAAGGCTTCTCTATTATTGAGGATACGGCGATTTTGACTTTCCCTTTTGTCAGAGAATAACAATTATAGCATCTTTAGATGGGATCCACATAAGCATTCATGTTGTTTGTTGATGCGACGTTATGTTGTTATAAAAGAAATTTAAAGGAGGTTAGTAATGGTGGGAGTAATTGCAGTGGTTATCAAAAAAAAGTTCTATGTTAACTCCTCCGTGTGAGTATTATTGAAGTAGGAGATAATTTCCACGTCTTTACATTCCTTACTTTCTGTTGAGGCTCTTCATTTCTCCGGCCTTGTTTCGATGGATAAGATCTCCAAAGATAAACTAGACATTTAAATGAAAGATGGAAAGTCATTCTAAGAGACATCAAGATCCACAGAAGGGAGACAAGGATGTTAAGAGTTTGAAGCCCGTTGAAGCAAAAGTGCCTTCGAGCAACTTTGTCGGGGGTTCCCCGACTCTTGTCCATGCACCAGAGACTGATTTGAACGAAGCTGCTCTAGAGAATGATCCAGCATTACAGATGCTACACCCCACACCTGGGAAGTAGATACTCGTTCACCCAAAGAATACTGAAGAGGTTCAAACTCTCTATCTTATGAACGGCCCAAAGAATGAGCCAACATTATAGATTGGAAGGGATCAAACTTGCTGTTGCTTACAGAGCTTAACTCAAGTGACATCTTTATTTTTCTTCCTTATATGTTTTGCCATGACTAATAATATATTTCAGTTTTTGATGCTCACAGCTTAGCTGAGGAGATGAGAATTTGCATTTTCCTTCTTGCCATGTTTTGTTATGACTAATGATATATCTCAATTTTGTATACTTTCTTACAGAGTTCTATGTTGACTAGTGGTCTAATCCAATGATGCCTCCTAAGGATCTCATTGGTGGAGAGGCAGAGGGCTTTGATGGAATAGGCTCTGAGAGTGAAAATCAAAGTTAATTTGTCCGCTGGCGAACTCCAGAAGGTAAGATCACTTGTATGGGAATGCTTGGTCCAATAATTTTTATACCTGATCGTGGTCACCCGATGTTCACAAGAACTCAAATTTATAGTGGATCCTACTCTCCAACGTGCTGATGTTGGTGACAGAGAGGTCGGTGGGGCAGAGCTCATTATACAAAATAGATCTAGGGGTGTGCATTATTAGGTCAAAATTGAAAAACCGAACCGAACCGAATAAGTTTGGTTGACTCGGTTCAGTTTCAAAATGTATTTCAGTTTTTTGTTTTTGAAGTTTCCAAATTTCTATTTGGTCTAATTTTTATTTAACAAAATTTTAATTTATTTAACAAAATTTAATTAAAATTTCTTATTATATTTTGATTTCATGTCAAACAAATTGAAACAAAAAAATAAAAAAAATATATTATATGTAATATTTGATTGAAATAAATAGATAATTCATGAAATTAAATTGATATTATTAATATAAGATATGTAATTCGTAATGTTTGTTCATAGTCATCCTCCAATAAATAATTAAATTTCATGTTCATAACTGAACCATTTAAACTGAATTAAATTTTGGTTTAGTCAATTAGGTTTTATCAAAATTTTGGTTGGTTTGCTTTTTTGGACTATGGATTTCGATTGCAATTGGTTTGACCAATTTGAAAATCGATCCATCTAAACCGAATGAATGCTCAACCCAAACAAAATCATCAGCGGAGGGCGAGCCGCTAGTCCCTATTAGAGTTCGAAAATTGGAGATAGAGCTCGCAGTCACCCTTCTGGTTGGTCGAGATGTCGATCCTCTCGACCATGGGAATGGCCTGAAAGAGGAGTTCATTCTGACCCATGAACAACTAGGAAAGACCAAGGATGAACTCGCAATGTTTGAAGGAGAATTGGTGGCGGCTACAGAACATGTAATCCGCATAGAAGCTAAGGTATTTGAGTTACAAGACTATGACATAGACTTAGAAGAGAGCTTGCAAGATGCTAAGGAGCACATCTAAGACATGGAGTATAGGTTGGTAGAGGCATCGACAAACTCGAGTGAAAGCCACAGAGCCTGAAGAGATAAAGTCGAGGCTTCCTTCTTCAACATCATCTCCTGTCTTAACAATCTGGGCAGTTTCTTGTCGGTGGGCAACTTGTCTTAAAGAAGCTCCTTTAATCCAACAAGTTGATTTAAATGACGTAAAAAATAATGGAATTGGCCTCTTGTATGAGGGAAGCTAACTTTAGCTTTGATTGTTTATCTACTCGCCAATGTGCTATTTGATTTCTTGTTATTTTTATTTTTGAATGCTGAGATGATATTTTAACGAAGATGTGCATTACAATTTGGATGCGATTACTTTTTGTGCGTTTGTTTTATTCCGTGCAGATACTTTACACTTGAGCACCTTAACTGCCAAGCATTTTCATTTCCCATTATTTTTCTGTTCTTACCCTTAGGGTATTATAAGAAAAAAAATAATGGTTCAAATTTTTGCATGCTTACATCGTTTCTGTGTTCCTTCTGATTTATCTTCTATGCTCCCTCTTTTTTTTTTCTCAATAATCTTATCTTTGTAACCATAATTTCTTCCAACAAATCCCCACTTCATACAAAATTGGCCATCAAAATGCGAAAGAGCAATGGGAATACAACAAGCAGGAAATCTGATAACAAAAGTTCAACCCTGATACAGGGAAAAAGGAGGGTGCAGGTGGGATGGCAACGAGCAAGGAAGGGATGGAGTGAAGGATTATGGGGAGATAATCATCAACTTGGAGCATGATACAACCAGAACACCACCTATCCTTGGATGCATCCCTAGCAAAGGAGAAAATGCTGACGACAGGAAATCTAACAACAAAAGTTGAACCCTAATACAAAGCAAATACATTTATACAGTAGATAACTACGAGGGGGTGACAACCATAGCCATCCCATCACCATGGACCGGTCGGCCCTGCTCCCCTCTTAGCTAAATCGGTTCAGCTGATCCAGCCAGTTCAACTCCTTAGAAAACCTTGCATCACCAAGTCTGTGGAGGACGAGTGCCAACTAGCTGCCCTCCAGGAAAAAAGTGGCGAAATTTGGAGAGGACAGGGCTAAGTTCCTCACCGAGT